CTGCTTATAATTTATAACAACAAAATTGAAGTAAAAAAATTCTCTGGCATTTGAGAAGCCAGTCCCGCTAACCTGCCTACGGTGGGCAGTGCCCACTAGTTTGTTTTATATGAAAAACGTATTATGAGAATAAGTTTTTCAAGGCACTGCCCACCGTGGGCAGGGGAATATATTTATTTGAGAAGCTGCCATAGTAATAGTTTCACTTGGCCTCTTTCAGGACTTGTGTCTGTTAAATTATAACAGCAAAAATGAAGTAAAGAATTCTTTGGCATTTGATACCATACAATATAAGCTGACGATTTTGGTGTGATTGGATATAAGTTATTTTGGTTTTGTTTGTTTATTTGGATAAATGGGAGTTAATTTTGAAAAATTGTGTCAGTCAGATTAATTTTGAGTTTTACTATAATAATATTTATAATATAATTATTTATATGGGATAATAACAACAGGTCGGCTAGCCGAAAAAGCAGCCATACCAGCCGTCAGGTCGAACGGATAATGAAGAGTCCATAGGTTGAAGGACCTTTAGGTCGAACAGGGCATGGGCGAAGCGAAGGATACTAGCAGGTCGAATGAAGGTCCTTGGAGGGTTTGACGAAATTCGACCTAAAAGGGCAACTGGTCGACCAGAAGGACGTAGCAACGGGGCTCGACATTGATGATACTCCACCTCGATGTAATCGGGGTCAGGCATACGGTTAGACCGTCTAATAAAGAAGACTAAAAGATAAGAACGAATATTCTGTTCTTTAAACCCTCACGTGGATGTGACCACATGGCCTAACAGAATAGGACAGTTGGGGCAGTCGGGCAGCTAGGGTAGTACGAACGGACAATCTGGGTAGCCCACGCATCTGAAATAGATTGGGCAACAAAGGTATCATCTCCCTATATAATTAAGGAAGTGATATATGTCTTGAATTAGATTACACTCTTCGCATAATCTTATACTGCAATTCAGCTTCTTCAACTGCTAATTTAAGCTTTGGAAGCTCTTCAACGAAAAACTCATCTGGTGTGAGAGTACTGCAGGTTCAATGGCATTCAACCTGCGATCGAGCTCGAGATTTTCCAGCCATTTCCAATCGGCCAGAGGTCTTTTGTTTATCAATTATTAAAGTTGATTTGATGTAAAAGTAGGAGAATAGTGATTGAAATTGACGAGTGGTTAAAATAGTGTGAGTGAATGACTAGTGAATTAAAGTTATATTATATGTGGGAATGTTTGATGTTATATTTAAATATTTAGTTATACTAGTAATATTGAGGAGATTTAGGTTGTGTTAAATTTAAATTGAATTTTTTGAGTTTAAAAAATGAACTATTGATCAGATAATTTGTACAAGGCCTTAGTCTCCATTGTTGCATAAATTGAATACATCCACCATACAGAGTGTTTGAGTTGAGAATATGAGTGGGTGTTTAGTAAGATGCTTGGATAAAAGTGTTTCGAGCTGAGAATACGATTGTGTGTTTTGGATACCATGTCTACATCTATTTAACTATATTATAGTATATTTACTTAATAAATTGTATACAATTTATATTTAAATAAAATAAGGAAGAAAAAATAAAGAAAATAAATAAAATTCGTTTCTGATTGATTGAACATGCAAATTATAATTTTAAAATATAAAAACTATTATACCTTGTGCAATTAATACTTTTGATATATAATATATGAATTCTTTTCTTATAAAAAAAAAAAAGCTAATCAATATTCACTCGAATCGTATTAGATTGAAAAAGTATATTATTATTATTATTATTATTATTATTATTATTATTATTATTATTATTATTATTATTATTATTATTATTATTATTATTATTATTATTATTATAACTATTATTATTAATAATTGTCATCAATAAATATATCAATTGGAGCTATTAAAAAATGTGAAAACATTTTCACAGCCAAAAACATCTTACTATTTTTCGTAATTCTTTTTCGTTACAATTATTTATCTTATTATTATAATTTTTCTATGGAGCAATTCACATTTATTCAAAAATAGTGTATTATTACGTGTCCTACAATAAATACACATTATTATGCATAATATTAGTGTTCAATAACTGATGTAGAACGTGATACGAAAGGGGCCCTCTCGAGATACTCTCTCAAGAAGAATAGTAAAATTGAGATACTCTCTCAAAGAAAAGGAACAGATAAATTTTATTCTCAAACGTCAATGGTCTTTCCCCACCGTTTTTCACATATAAATAAGCAAAGGAATACTTATCTTGCCTAACAAGTTGCAAGATATTTTATTTCCTACTACATAATTAATAAATAAAGAAATGCATAAATCAAGTAAAACACTAAAAAGAATAATGCTAAATACGAAGCCGGTCAAATTTCTCCAAATAAGCTAAGGCGGTCTCGTCTCCATCATCTCCCCCGGTTGAGAAGGATTCGACCGCGAATCCGAACCGGTCTCGTCTCCGTCCGAATTGTCTCCCGAAAAAGGCACCAAGTGCTTGACGTTAAAAACGTCAGAAGTGCGAATATGTGAAGGAAGCCGTAAACGATAAGCATTGGGGTTGATCTTCTCAACCACCTCGACAGGACCGATCTTCCTGGCCGACAACTTACTATACTCATGGGCCGTAAACCTATCCTTCGTCAGAACAACCCAGACAAAGTCCCCCACCTCAAACTCCACATGTCGCCTCTTAGCATCCGCTTGTTTCTTGTAAGCCGTCGTGGTAGCCTCGAGGCGAGCTCTAGTCTTCGCGTGAATTGCCTGCAACTCCGCAATGAAGTCGACGGCGCGGCGATCGGGCGCCGACGAAGAAGAGGGTAAAGCCACCAAGTCCGATGGGCCGCGGGGACAAAATCCATACACTGTCTCAAAAGGGGACAACCCGGTGGCACGACTAAGTGCCGAGTTGTGGGCAAACTCAGCCTGGCTCAAACGCTGATCCCAACTCCGCAAGTTATCACCCACCACACAACGCAATAAGTTACCCAGGATCGATTGACCACCTCAGTCTGACCATCGGTCTGAGGATGATAAGCACTGCTGAAGTCTAGCTGAGTATTCGCCATGCGCCAGAGGCTGCGCCAAAAGTGGCTCAGAAACGAGTATCGCGATCGGAAACAATGGACGAAGGAAGTCCATGCAAACGATATATCTCCCGGAAGAATAACTGAGCCACGTGAACCGCATCAGTGGTGCGCTTGCATGGAACAAAGTGGACCATCTTGGAGAAGCGATCAACGACCACAAAAATAGAGTCGAAACCACGCTGAGTACGCGGTAACCCAAGGACAAAATCCATACTAATGGCGCTCCACGGCTGGGAAGGAATAAGAAGCGGCCGGTATATACCGACATTCGACGCAACTCCCTTGGAAACA